CAAAAAAGCCTTCAAAAAAAGAGATAATAACTTTAAGCTACTAGACGAGAAATAGAAAAAACAATATGCACCAAAAGCTTAAATAAAAGAGGAATGGTATAACAAGATAATAAATACCATTTTCAAAAACAAGTTGGAAGAAGTATTGAAAGATCTTCCTAATGACAAAGCAGCAGGATCCAACAAGATCAAATACAAAATACTCAAAAACTAAAAACAAAAGGGAAAAAAATGCCATGTCAACTTATGAATATATACTTAGTTTATGGTACAACTCCAATGGTATGAAAGGAAAGTCTACTTTACCCCATTTCAAAGGGAAAAGAATAGCAAGGCAACTTAAACAACACCAGACCTATAATTCTCCTGGATGTCTTATGAAAGTGCTTCACAAAAATCATTACCAACTGATTATCCATTATTTGTAAAAGATATAATATCCTAAAGGGTTCTAACTTCGTAGGACTATTTGGAGAAAGTATTTCAGAACCCATCCACTTGTTAAATAATATCTGTGAAGAAGCAAAAGAAAAAAAAAAGGAATTGTGAATATTATTTCAAGATACAGCCAAGGTATACAACACAATTAGCCTAGAAATGTTACAGAAAGCACTTCAAAGGATCAAAATTTCAGAAAAGCTCATAAAACTTATCTTAAATCCCTTCATCAACTAATTATTGAAGATAATTATAGATGTAGGAATAATAAAGAAAGTAATAGCAAGAGATGGAATAGACCAAGGAGAAATAATCTTTCTATTACTATATACATCTTTTACAACCCCCTATTATATGAAATTCAGGACAATACAAGATTAGATTATTCTATGAACTGTGAATAGAAAACTAACTATAGCAAAAATGAATCTATATAACTATCCATCCAGCAAGTCACTATAGCATACATGGATGACACAATATGGATTGCTAGATCTGAAAAAGATATGAAAAATATTCTAGAAAGGGTCAAGTGGTTCTATGTGGTCAACGACTTCCAAATTAATAGTAACAAATCAGTACTAATTATGATAAACAATCATAACAAAAGATCAAATGTGATTAAAATTAGAGTAAACAAACAAAAAGTAATTGACTGTGACCACAGCAGTTTTACCAATTTCTAGGAATATGGATAGGAAATAAAAGACATACTAAAAACACAATCCATCAAATTAAGCATGAAATTACAACAATAGTATCAAGTCTCTAAAAAAAAAAGTAACAGACAAATACACAAAGTATATTCTAAATAGAGTGCTTATTTCACATATAGAATATTGAATGCAACACTGCTTTCTAAATCAAAATATATGCAACATTCTAACAGCACAGTTAAAAAAGATTCTAAAGAAAATGGCAGGATTGGTCTTAACAATTTTCAATTCAGCTATCTATCACAAAAAAATCTACAATATTAAAAGTATCAAGGAAATTTAAGCAAAGAATTAGATTTTCAACTTTATTAATAGACTGTGCGACATGGGTTCAGCCAGTGTATCCATATTAATTTATCTCAAACAAGCTCAAGTTCAGAAATAGGAACCAAGCAATATCTTGACCAATAACATTCCTCGATTATTCAAATGTTCAGTTCAAGTTTTGAAAATGGCTAACAATCGAGGAATCACAATATTTAATTCCTGATAATCAAATTGCTTTAATTGAAAAGAAGGTTTATTATCTATCAAGAATATGTTTAATAATACAAAGTTATATCAGAAAGCAATCACATCTCTAAGAAAACATAACATAATTTTTGTAGACCAAATAATTGACAGTGACAGCAAAACAATACTACTATGGAAAATTATTCAAATCCTTTCAAATACCAGTAAAGGACCAACACTACTATAGTTCAGTAAAATCCAGTCCACCCTGGCAAATAAGTATAATGTTCTAAATAACAAATGGCAAAATTGGAATTGGGAAGAGCAAGACAGAAGATTTTTCTTTACCAGTCCAAACAAAGATCAATGCTAATGGAATTAAAAGATTACATGTCCAAAGAAACCAAATAGACAAATCATCTGGTATAGAAGTAAAGAAGATGCAGACCATCAAGCCTCCCAAGCAAAAGTCTACAATCTAAAAACAGGATCCAGACCAGACACAGTCAAACTACAAAGAAGCAAAGGCACTATCCAATTCCAGATCAACGAGAAAACAAAAAGTTTATCAACCGGAACAAATGCTTATGGAGACAACAAAAGATCAAAGACCAGAGTACTATCATGTGGTATTATTAATTAATGTCCAACCTTTAGAAAAGCAGATGAACTGGAAATTACGATTAGCATACATGTCTTGAAAAACCTTGCCAAAAAAGAATTGAAACACTTCAAGAAAAAAAAAATTACCGACAACCATATTATGGCAATTGAAATAGAAGACTGGGAAGTACAAATAATCAAAAAACACATCCAATCTCCAGACTATATACAAGCCCTGATAAAAGAATACAGAATCAATAAAGAAAGTAACTTCTGACAGTTCTACAGTTTTTATACAGATGAATTATATTGTAAAGCAAGAGATCAATTATTGAAAATGGAAGCTGCCTGGTTACAAGTTCAAGAACCAAACCCAGAAAGATTCTTCCAAGCAGGAGTAGACAACTGGTCATCAGCACTTTGGGCAAAACTTGTTGCAATCATTCTAATACTCTTAGTTATACTTCAAAAAAGTCAAATAGAAATCAGAACAGATTGTATAACCTGTATTAATACTCTGCAAAAGCTTCTAAACCCCCATATTAGAGATACAGGAAAAAGAAACAAAAAGCAGAAGAACTAGCAACTGTGAATGAGATGCATAGACCTAATATATAAGAAACAAATCATGATTCAAATAATTAAGGTAATAGCTCATAACAAGAATAAGGTTAATAACAAGGTAGACCTTCTCACTAAAGTAGCAAAAAAGAAACCAGAGATTTGTTAGAACAGTTGGTATTAACAAGAAGCCTTAACAACACTATGCTAAAACAAGATTCCTATTGATATAGTAGTAAGAGAATTTGTCAAAAAAATATACAAGAGAAGCATCCTAATGAAATAGGCAAATCAAAATCAAATATAAAAAAAGATGGGTCAAAGAAATAAATAATCAAGAAAACTTTGACTGAAAAACCTCTAGGAAGTAAATAAAGTAGAAGGATCTTTAACAACATCTTTTAAACAAGTTTGAGAAAAAGCCTTTCAAATAAAATTAATGTATAATGAACTACTGACACTGGACAACATGACCAAAAGATTTTCTGCAAAATATGCAAACCTAATCAAGTATTTATACTGTTAACAAGAAAAAAAATTCTTGGAATATTTATTTTTTTGCAACAGTATCACAGAAATACGTAGAGAAATATGGAACAAAAGCCAAAATCAGCTACTCAATAAATGGCTAGAAAATGCTCAGGTGAAAAAAACACAAGACAGGCAAACTATAATACAAGAGCTTTTACAAAGATAGTATAGGCATAAATTCTTCACAGGTATAGAAATTATAAACTTGTGTTTAGAATTTCTCTTAAAAGAAGATGTATCAGAATAGGTACAAGCAATGGCCAAAGTCAAGACCAAAACTAATGAAGTGAGGCAGTTATTAAAGAAGTTTTCAAGAAATATTTACAAGCAAGTTAGAAAGAAGCTATAAAATGACAGATATGCCAGATTATAGAACTCAGGAAGAAAATCTAAAATATACAGATATAGAGAAAAAAATATACACAGGATAAGAAAAAAGAAGAGAAAATTAAGAGGTCCTAATTAGAAAAAAACAAACCTAAGAGAGCTACAAGAAGATGATACAGAAAACTCTTCTGTACAAATTCAAGACAAGATCTTGATTTGGAAATGGATTAAAAAAAGAGAAGAAAATGGTTAGAAATATAAAAAGTAATTTAGATTTTGAAAAGATGAATTGTAGTGATGAACTGTAGGCAATAATCTTTGGAATTGAACTCTATAAGCAAGTAAATAACAAAGAGAGCAACCTTATTCATCTTCAAAGTCACACCTAGAGACATTAGTCAAAGATAGGTATTCAAGGCAGTAGAATAGTTTATGCAATATAATGTATTATACATTACTTGTTTTCTATAAAGATTTAATAAACAGTACACACTTGTTTGACTACAGGTTAAAAAAAATAAAATAAAATAAAATAATATTTATTAATGAAAAATATAATAAATATTTCTATTTACTTTGGACCTGTGGGTCTATAGCATAATGGTTAGTGCTCCGCAGGTCAGATCTCAAGATAATGGTTCAAATCCTTCAGAGGGCTAATGTGGAAACCTCAAATCGGAAGAAATGGATCAGCATCTTCTGATCGCTGTCACAAGATATCAAGTTCAGTTCCTAGTGAAGGCAATTGGACCACCTCAATATGATATCTGGCACCATAACCTAACACGTGCTATTTCCCATAAGAAACCAATTCACACGTTGATTCAACAGGCGTTGGGATTGTGATACCAAGAAAAGGTGTAGTGGCGTAATGATCGTTCGGCAGTATTACGATGATTATTGTCAAGTTTGGTGCTTCCCCCGATTCTCATGCATGGAGCACGATTCCTTTCCCTTTTAGTCCACGAGACTATAAAAGAAACAACCCCTGATTTTCAAGTGACCATAGCTAGAGCCACAAAGACTTCTTGTGGATATAGCTTAGATCTGCAGCTGATTGTATTAGGATACGGTTCTTTGAGTTTCTATTCATCGGATGGTGGGTGGGACTGGAAGGCACACATCCTGGCATATTAGTACTCTACCTATGTTATCAGGACCCCAGTATTGATAATATAGGAAGAATGGAGGGCAATAAGCCGACCGGTGGATAAGTCATAAGAGCTTTCCCTAGGTAGTTTCATCAGATATAGATAGGTAGTAGTCAGTTCCCATAAAAGGAATATACATGTACTGTAAATTCTTTCTAATAAAACATGGTGTACGTCAGTCGTTAAAATCAAAAATTTCTATTTACTTTTATTAAATATTTTAATATAAGACAATAATACTTTTATTACAAATAACAATTTTTTTACTTTTATTTTTTCTATATTAAAAATTTTTTATTTTTAAAAACTTCAATTTACTTTTTATAAATAATTATTAATATATATATATTTTTTTAAAAATAAAAAGTATTACAATACATGATTTTTATTGAATAAATTATTAATATACTTTGGTTATACTAATTTCAAATGAAATATAATTATATGGACTCCTAATTATTAATATTATATTTAAGCAATATGCTATAAATAATATAATATAAATAAATAACTATCAATATGCAATTATTTTTAATGTAAATTAAAAACAAATCTAGAAATATTATTAAATTAATAGATTTTGTTTTAAATATAAATATTTAATAAAATTTCAAAACAAAAGTCTTAATTAGAGCTTTGAAAATATCAAATTAATATTGAAATAGTATTAATTTATAGTAAATTTAATATATGGATTATGACCTACTTATATAAATTTATAATAAATTTAAGTATTAAAATAATATCAAGTCTTAATAGAAAATAGAAAATTATTAATTAAATTTAATAAACAAATATTAAAAAACTAAATATACTAAAAAAAAAAATAAAATAAAAATAACAAATATTTTAAATCAGATCATATTAATTATATTTTTGAATGCTTCAGAAAAATGTATTATTAAAATTTTCCCAAATCAATTAGAAATTTTATTTTTATAAAAAAAACTTGATTTTTTAAATAAATTTGTTTCAAAATAAATAATAACTAATACCGTATATTAAAACATATATTTTTTAATATTTTTGTATTAACTAATATAAAAAAACCAAAAAATAGGAATCGTGTTAGATATTATACCTGAATTTTATTTTTTCTAAATTAGTTGGATCGCCTGAACATTGGTTAATTCACATGTCACAGGGAAATGTTATTTAAAAAAAGTTTTGGGGGCTGTTTAAATCATATGAATTGTTTATAATTACAGTGTTTGGATTCTTTGATAATATTCCGGTTGTAAAGAAATAACTATTCAGTAATCAAAAAGTATGCGGTGTATATACGTATTATTACAGTATATAATTATTAATTTTCTCTTTGTGTTGTAGTATACACTTCACATGCGGTATTTTAACATGATTTATTATTTATAGGACTATATTCAAACTTTATCGAATTTTTTTAATACTTCTCTACTACTATTAGATTCTATGCATGCTCAATGTTACCAATAAGTTCTTTGATATACAAAAAACCTTCCATAAGAAGAAGTACCGTATTTACCTGGCTTTGAACTCTTAAATGAAAATCGCGAATTCCAAAAATCCAGTTTATGACATATACAATAAAATATTATATATCTTGTTTGTACCTTGGAATAATTTGATTATAAATAAAAAAGCATTTTACTGGTAATTTCCGATATACAGTATGTAATAATAGAATTTAACTGCCCATATACTGTATATTTTTCGGTTAAATCACGGTACGTGTATGGAAAAGCACGAGGTCACAAAAATTCAAGTTGATCATTTGTTTCTTAACTCAATTATCACAATGTCGACTTTGGTTAGTGGTAATTCCTATCTAGAGATACCGGTTAGTAAAGGGCAATCTCCTGGTTACGAGGTGGAGAGGATATTTATGTTTCACCAATAGTAAATCGTAAGAGATCATTGTGCATGATTTCGCAGATAGCAAAGTTTCTCTTGACGCAATAATTAATTTCACATATTATGCAATGGCACACATGATCCGCCGATAAAGTATCCTGTCAAATATTAAGTTAGGGGTCATATACGGTAGGTGAAATAATCAAAGAATGAAACCAGAAATCAAACCTCCTAATTTTTACAGGCACCAATCATATTCAGAATTTACACGGTAAAAGATTCCTTGACATGAGGAATTCTTTGTGCAAGTTGTTCATCGGCGAGACACGTTTCATATGATGAACCACGATGCAAGAATCCTGATGAGAACCTATTTATTCAACTATCAATGAAATAACAATAGACCACGTTTTACGTATGAACCATGTTGCCAAGCCTACAATCCGATTTTAGGTCAGTCCCGGTCATTGAAAATTTCCAATTCGTGTGATATTGAATATAAAATTTCTTTGAATATAAATCTTTAATAGAATTTTTAAGTTAGTGTGAGAAACTTAATGTGCGAGTATGTACCATAAAAATATAGAGGTTACACCGCACCTTGAATATCTCATATAAGATTTAAAATTAATGTTATTTCTGATTACACGTGCGTATCTTAGGTTCTGTCGGTCGAGGTAAGTATAGCATGTCACGTATAATACAATGACACATCAAATATCTTGTAGTTAAGCATCCTCTGCTTGCTGTGTCTATGCTTTCTAGTGAATGCATGCATGCCTGGTATGCTTAATACAATAGTCCCAGAAGTGCTAGAGGTTTCGCCAAGCCGCGCGAATCATCGCATCGCGGAGTAATACATACCACGTACTGCGATCATTACTTCCCCCTTACAGTAAATAAGTTTGTGCAACGACCATCATTTATTATTCCCGGGTGCAACGCGTAAATCTCATTACGTTTAAGGGCTTCAATAAATCTTATAAATATCTGCCTGGAACGAGAAAAAATCAAAATCTCTAACTGAAATATCATTCACGGAAAATAAAATAACAACGACACACGTTGAAATGTATTTCCAAAAGTCCTTCTCTTTTCTACTCGCCGCCATGTTGTTGGTGACAATACTGCCTATCTCGAATGCCTTACCGATCCATTCTCACACCGAACCGAGTCGCTTGCATAAACGTGGTGTTGCAAAATTTGATACATCCATCTTTGAGAGAGTCAATAGAGAACGACGTTCTTTATCAGCGTCGGGTAGCGATTTTGCCCTATACATGGCTACGTATAATTTCCAAAACGATAAGGACCACGTTAAAAGAAATTCTGCTGATTCTTTATTGCACAAAGCTTTGAAGCGAGACGTAGACTTGGATGAGATTGATTGGGATGACAATCAAATCTAATTTTTAGAAATGAACATTCCTAGTTTACAATAGTGACTATCAGAATCTTTGAAAATAATTATATATATATATATATATACAGCATATTGTACATATTAACCTTTATTATTCATGTATTCTTAAATGCAATGGTATGATAACTTCAAGGAAAGGATGTGAATACAGATCATCTAATGAAACGCAGTGCGCTTCAAGATCAAGTATAAATAGAAAGGACGATGTGACAAAGTCAGCTCGACTTTGTACGTACGAACGTATTTATATAATGTAGAGAGATTAGAGAGAGGTATAAATCACAAAGATTCTAAATACTAGATTTACAGTATTTCTTGGACCACATACATTGAATGTATTATTATTTTCTTATACATATACCAAAGAAAACTGTCAATAAATAAACTTACAATTATTGGTGATAGAAGAATTATAAATTTTTTTATTATTGAATCTTCTTTTCAACAAAACATTATATACAGTATATACAGTATTAATTATACAATGCAATCATATACCCTCTATCATATTATCTTCCGTTGATTCGATCCCCGACTCCTTTTAATGCTTTTCCAAAGTTACTCGTCTTCAGAGATTTCTCTAAGAGGGTATCACCATAGATTTCTTTTTTGAGCCTACCCATATATGGTTGAGGTTTCCTTTAACTCCATTGTGATCGCAAAGATAATCGTGTGATGGATTTCATTCATCTTTTCACCAATTGTCTTTCTCAAGTTATGATTGTCCGAAGGTTTTTCTTACCTGCATCTACCGCGGAAATTCACACACACTAAATTTTTGGTTTAACCGATTTTTCGTTAGGTGCTAATTAATATCTCTCCATTGGTAATGGCCGTGCCAGCGACGGATGTCACGTCTTTACTAAGGACATGCATGATATTAATCGATTGGTACGATCTCATTTCTTTTCATTCAATTTCTCTCCCTTATTGCTTACGCCTTTCCTTACTTCTTTTATATGCCAGAACCTTTTTTTTTATTCGACTAATCAAGAAAATATAAAGTACACAGCATTGATCTTATACCATTGAATCAAATTCTGGCTAGACAAACAAGAAGATTAATAATTTTTTATTTCTACCGAATGAACCTTATCCAAGGTCAATTTGAAATATCGAAATCAGTTCACAAGAAAACTGGTATGTAACATGCCAAACGTTTCATTGAATATTGAACTTCCGTATTAAAATCAGATAAAAGATATTGTTTAGATAGAAAGATGCAGAAATTATCAGACAAGTTTGTAACTGGTGTGTTGCAAACATAAACCTGGTTGGAGATTAAGACGGTTCACAAATGTGTAAGTGTTGCATCGACATTTATTTTTCATGTTGCTAACAAGTCTTTTTTTAAATTAATGGTAAGGGTCTTCACACTATCTAACAGTAACATTCTAGACCTGATGCTCTTGTCGCTCTTACTATACATCATTAAATGTAAAAACTTTGTTTTGCCCTATTTTTTAGCTTATATTTTTGATTGGAGATGGAGTTACGTTAATAAATAGTTCACCTCCAGATGTCCATAAGAAAATGCTATTGTATATGAATGCAGTAGTTAAAGTGGAATGATGTTAGATCAATTGAATTTTCTGTTGTTAATTGATTACTATTATTATTATGCTTGTCTAAGAAGGATCCACTCACAGTAAAGATCTATATTTAAGATACCAATATTAATAGTGTAATTTTTGGCAGAGTTTGTGAATCCTCATAATTAATATGCAAAGCATTATTTAATGGTAGACAACTTTATACCGAATGTAATATGATTTCTATTCTTTAGACTTTCACAATAGAATGCAATAAACAAATTATTTTTGTATAAGGTCAACGATGCAACTTTTTATGAAAAGGTCCACAGACACTGGAGTTAAGATTTCTCACGAATCATCATCTTTAATTGTGCAAATCTGTAAATCACTGGATCTTCATCGCAATTACTGTACGTATCATTCTATGTTCTTCTCTTTACAGAATCCATGATTTAAACACTCGGACTGCGAACGTTGCTACGAATATAAAAAAATATTGACAATTTCGCTGATTATTAAACCGAGTTTTTTTTCTTTGCATGTGATATAAATTCATAAATTTTAGGTAAAAGGAAGTGTAAATTATAACATAATTAACTGAACATACTCAATGCCTATTCCTAATGATGGAAATTTTTGAGTAGAGACATCATCATCGAAAATTCGTTTAACATATTGGTACATCCAGCCCATCCCAAAGCCCGAGGCGCACCATATGTAGAACATTCTCTTTTGGTGTACACTCGAGATTAGATTTTATCATTGGTAGAATGCGATGATTTACATATTATTTGCGCAACTACACCGCAAACATTACGAAATTAACAGTCCGATGTTCATGTTGAATTCCATTTATGTAATAAAGAAAGACTTGTTTTCTGGGTTTGAATAAATGATCATGCAACTTAAAATACAGATGCTCTTAATGTTAATATCTATTTTTATATGATCACTCCTTATGTGAACGCTTCCTTTCATATCTTTATTGCTGGTAATAGGTTAAGGGTTAATTGATCCATTAAGATTTTCGGAATAAACTTTTACTGTAATATTCACACGACGTTGTAAACTCGGTTCACAGTCTGTATAGTATAACAATTGCGTGTAATTAGTAAGTTGATTTGTAAAGTAAAATTTTATCCAATCTAGAATGGTTTTATTTTTACATCTCAATTTTATTATTATTGGATTTCTTTCTTATTAAGCAGATTTACAGTATCCTCTTTTTTCCATTTGATTATTCGTGATTTTCTTTATAAACATGTTTTTCACTAACTCTAATAGATACATTCAAGCTTTTTTATACTATCGAAGCATATTCTATTTTTGGATTTCACATTTCTTTTTATCCTTATTTTATCAAATCCAAGATTTTCTAAAAAATCACTTTAATACTGGTGATCCAAATATACGTAACTTTTTATCACATGATATAAATTCAATTTAAAAAAACTTGTCATATTAAATAATATTATTTTCTGAATTTTAAATAATTACCATTTATTTGATTGTAATTATTTCTTACTGTTGTATAATTATCAAATTATTTAATCCTTATTGAAATAATAATACGTCTTTTCTTGAAAATTATTATTAAATATTATTTATCATATAACTATTGATTTTCAATTTATAAATTTTCATTAATTTTCAAGATATTTTGTTCAAGTCATTATTAAAATTACTAAAAATAAAATATTACTATTTTTAATTTGTTTTGGTTTTTAAAAAAATCATAAAAATCACAAATGATATTAATAAAATTTGTTATATAAATCCATATATTGAATTTAACTTATTTAATCTTACAAGTTCAAATTATTAATTGTATTACTATATATACAATTAAAATTTATTATATTATAAAATATTATTATAAAAAGTAATCTATATTGCTTTTTTATTAATAATTCATAAATAATATTATAAATATAATATAATAAAAATTATATTGTTAATAATATTAAAACATCAGAAATATAATTATAATTTACAAAATATTATCTATTAAATATATATATAGTATATAAATGTTTATTAAAACTAAAAAAAAAAAAAACTCTTTCTGCAAAATTATTAGATTCTTAAAAATTGATTTTTTTGATAATAAGTACAAAAATTTCACAACCTTTATAAGAAACTATAACTAAATAACGATACAACTGCTTAGAAAGATAAATTTACTTAATAAAATACATTTGCTACTAACAATTTCTTGCTTAATAATTTCATTCTCTTCAGATAAACAAATTTTATAAAAGAAATAAAAAATACAAGTATTACAATTTACAATAAGCTTCTAAAAAAGTTAGTATCAACTTTCCTAACTCTTAATCAGTTATGTACAAAATTCTATATTTTCCTAAATATTAAAAGGAAATTTAGGTAAGGCTATTATTATTCAAAATTATGAATTTTTATATTAATTAAAAAGATTACAATATCTTAATAAAAAACTTTTTATAAAATACAAACTAAATACAAGAAAACTAAATTTATACAAAAACAAAAATTGTATCTGATACAAAAAATGGAAAACTATAAAACATATTTTTAACAAATATTACAAATATAAAATAAGAATTATATATCTAAAAAAATTAAAGAAAAAATATTTAACAGATCAAAAAAACACAAAAAAAAATCAATTGAAGAAACTATTTAGAATATATTATAAATGATTAAAAAAAAACATTGAAATATATAATTAAGTGAGTTTTTAAAAAAGACTTAATTAAACTTATAAATAAAATTAATTGAATAAAGCTCAAAGATATTCTAAGAACAGTTACAAGTCAAATAATAAAGGAACTTTACAAGTTGAAACTAAAGATATACAAAATTTTTATAATAAAAGGAAAATAAAAATATTAATAGAAGAGTCAAAAGAATTAAATATATAAAATAACAAGAAATCAATTATTTAGATAACATGTTGCAATAAAAATTACAATTCAAAAAAGTTAAAAAAGTAAATAAGCTATAGCAAAAACTAACAAACAACTGACTAAGCCAAAGAAAAAACTAATGATCCTAATGATTCTTTTCAATTCTGTATTTGATTCATAAGTTTATATTAAATTTAATAGGTGTAATATATCCCATCATTATTTTTAATAGTGTTTTGAATTTTATATGATTCCTTGTAATTCTAATTGATTTCAATTTTTGGAATTATAAAGAAAATATAGTTATTTTCAATTTTTTATTACTTATAATAATAATATTAATAAAATCTTGACTTAAAATAAGTCAATAGTAACAAATCAATATAGAAAAATTTTAATATAATATAGTATATAGCTAGAATGGTTTATAAATAATAAATCTTATAAAAAAATACAAATATAATTTAAATAAAGTATACTAAGCAAGATCTTGTTAATTAAAGAAAAAAAATTTAAAATGAATTATTTTTAAAATATAAAACAACTTAAAAAATTTTTTTTATATAAATAAAAAAAAGTGAATTATAAATAAAGTATTTAAGATTAAAGATTATAATTATTTATATGAAATTGTATTGGTAGATATATAAAAAATTTCTATTATACTTGTTAAAAATAATATAGTATTATATTTATTTTTAAATTGATATTTTATCATATTTAATTTTTTATATGAACAATAATAAATATTAAATAAATCATATGATAAAAGTACTTAAGAAAAATCAGAAAAATATAAAAAATGATATAAAACAGATAATTAATATAGTTGTAGAGTTATTAAAAGATAAAATTTTTATATGTAATAAACTTGAAAACAATAAATATATAATTTTTTATTATATATGTATATTTATTGTATTAATAAAACAATTAAAATTAAATAATTGTTTCTTTTACTTTTATTAAAAATAATAAGATTTTTTTGAACTGCTTAGATAATGTATTATTTAAAATTATTATTTTAAAATATACAATTATATTTTGAATATATGTATATTAATTTTTTTCTATTTTTATCTAATTATATTTATTATTAATATATTTTATAATTTTTTTAAAAAAATATAGAAGTTTATTTAAGAAAATGATAAATCTTATTATTGTATAACAAAAAATTTCAAATAACTTCAATACTTTGAATACAATAAAATATTTTTATTTATTATTTATAAACTTTATATTAAAAAAAAACTTTGCTTATTACATCAAATATATAGTTTTTTTTAAATGTAAAAAAAATATTAAGTAGGATTTTGAAAAGTATCAAATTAATATTGAAATATATTGTAGTATCAAAATAATATTGATCTATAGTAAATTTAATATATAAGTTATAATGTAGTTATATAAATTTATAATAAATTTAAATATTAAAGTGATATCATTAGGAGTTTTAATGTTAAGTTTATTGATATAACTTAAAACAATTGATTTAATTAAATGAAATTTCTGCTTTAGCTAATAATATGAATAGTAATTTTAAAATAAATAATTCAATAATTTTATATAATAATTAAATAAAATTGCTATTATTAATTAAAGATAATTTTAATATTGATTTAAAATTATTTAGTAAGATATAAAAAAAATGAATTATAAAGTTTACTAATAAATCACCTAATAAAAAGAAGAAATTTACAAATAAAAATCATTTATTCATATTGAAAAGACTTATTCAGAAGCCTTCAACTGATAATTCCAAAAATAAAAAAACTTCATAATTTGAATCCATTTTTAAATTCTTTATGATATTAATTAATTTTCTAAATCTATATTAAAGAATTATAAATACTGAAAGTATTAATAAAAAAAAGACTTAAGATCTTATATATAGCTACTTTTATTTGAAAAAAGCAATCAAAAAACTATAGAAAATATTATTTAAAACATATATCTGAAGGAAAGGTTTCTGATAAAATTAAAAACAGCTTCTAAATTTAATTAATGAAAGTTTACTTCAAAAAACAAAAAAAGAATTCTAAAGATTTATGATTTGTTCAATAAATAAATAGTCACATGACATCGTGATTGCTTGTCACTTTAATAAACTAGCCTACCGGGTTTTTACTTCTGTCGATATGGTGGACATTTTTTTCTAAAATTTATTCCGATATATTATGATAAGCCTTGATGTCATATACTTCGTTTAAATTTTTATTGCACATTGGAAAATTACATTGAATAATGTAATAAAATAAACTTCGTTTCTCGCCTGTTTTATGATTTGGAAGTTGATGCGTAATTAGAACTAAGGCTAACTAGATCAGCAAATACATCATAATTTTTCCGAATGTAATATTCTATTGATTGCGATTGGAAATCCACAGTATTTCTTGAAGGATGAAATGCAAACACGTTAGCTTCTAAGGTTTCACAGTATTCCTCTTCATTTGCAAATAATTCTCTAAATTCTTTAATATTAATCTCTTTGGATCTCAGCAAAGCGTCAATTACACGTTTTCCTGCTTCATAATGTTTTTGATTTTTAAGTATTTTTGCTGAATTAAGTTTGTTATAGGCTTCAAGTAATATTTTCTCCCTGATATCTATAGATAATGAGATAGGCAATTAATCCAAAGCAGAATTATGCAAATTATGAAACCTATTCATACCTTCAATGGATTGTCCTGACGAAAAGTCATTTGCAACATCTTTCAACTCTAAAATGCGACCACCGACCAATTGATATAATTCTTCCGCTTTTTCGGTGACCTTATGTATCTCAGTCAGATATTTTATTGATTCTTCCTCGTTAAGGTCACCGATTTCTATTGGTGGCTTTTTTGCTCGTGACCAGGAATTACGAGCTAGATGAGAATTGCATCATAAGTGATGTTTCCTTCAAGGGTAAAGAATAATGTCTATCCTTACATTTCATTCTTCTTGGAACCGCGCCTTCACTACTGACAAACACCGCGATGTATATTTGATCATCTGCATTTTTTTTTTGGCATCATCTTGGAGGGTATCAAGGATATCTGGATGTTTTGAAACCAACTGGCTAACGTTATCATAAACAATAACCGCAGGTCTGCCACGTTTTGCTTTATACACTTTAGCATCATGTTTAAAAGCTTTCAAAGCTCTATACCACATCCGTCCATCAGAATAGTCTATCAAAAAATAAAAAAGAATCAAAAATGCTTGATTGCTGTTATAAAAATGCAGTGACAATAAACTCACTACTAGTATTGTCCAATTTTCGTATCAATTGATTTGTAAAAGAGATTCACTCTTCAAATGCAAAGTTAAGAGCTTGCCCAAATGCTACGCAAAATTCTACATCCAAATTATCATTGCAAGCAGGAATATCAACGTATACGACGCCATGATCAACATTATTCGATACAAGTAATAATGTGATTGATTTTCATCAGGTTGAAGAATTCTTTTAAGACGTTCTACAATTTCAGTTCGCGGAAAAAAATTATCATTTGAAACTCCAGCTCCAGGTCGATTGCCTTTGTCTATGGTCTTAATAAGAAGTTTATTATTGTATTTGCTTCGGCAACAAGCGTAAAGAAGATCTCCAGCGCAAGAGAAACCAAGCAGAGCCACATAAATGCCAATAATTCCCAACCCGATGGCACCCTACAAATAGTGAGAATGTGATTAGAAATTTCACTAAGCAATAATCGAAAACAACAAATACACTCGTACAAGACAGTAGAAGGGGTTATCAAAATTTTCGAAAGTGTGAGAGGATAAAGAAATTGTAATTGGTTCCGAAAAGAAATAAAGATAAAGTGGAAAGTGCAACGTCAAAAATATAACTATTAATATTAATTATATTTTTTTTGCGGTCAACGAAGAACTGAGTAATTTTTGGGAAAGACATTAGTAAATGGCGATTTCCAAAATTCATTTCACAATTACATCATTAATCACACGATTTTTTTCTTGGCAAAAGTGGTTAGCATAAAGAAATACACGAAAAATTAAGAATCGCTATCCAGAGGCTTTCCGATGGGATTTTTTTTTCGTGATTTAATTCAAACTTTTGAACATGTCTGTATCTTGTATAATAAATGGCACATATAGAATCTAAAATCGATTCGTTGCAAGAATTAAATTCGAAGCTTTTGGCCGAGATTTCTGAACTTGGAAAAGAGAAGGCTGAAGTTAAGGCCGAAAATACGAAATTAAAGCGAGCTATGGAAGAAAATGCAGAGCTTAAGAGCAGAATCGAAGAGTTGGAAAAGAAAAATAAAACAAACACCAGTAATCTCACTGCTGAAAATGCTGAGCTTAGAGACAGAGTAATAAAATTGGAACAGAAGCAGACACAAAATGATAGCGTACACGTATCAAAAGATTCTGTTCTCTACGAAGTATCATCTGATATTTCTTCCAATATTCATACATACTTCTATCTCTCGCGAGCAATATCATGAAAGCGGAAAAGGCCAAGAATTTCCGTCACGAGCTTACGTGATGATTGGTAAAATGAAACATGGAACCCGATGAAATTGAACCCACTGTAAGTCAGTATATAGAACAAGGATTAATAAAAGAATTACTCAGTAACGTCCCCATCATATCGTCATTTATAATCCCAGAATATCAAATCACAACACAGCTTAGTCTGTTTATTTCAGAAGAAATCTAGCGTGGTATAATTACTCGGATAATTTTGAAAATAGAGTTATCGAAATTTGTCGGGATTTAGGAGTTACAGATAAAAAGGCTAGAATATAATTATACAAGGAGATGTTAGAGCATTTACCTGGTATTACATCAGGAAACTTGCGTATGAAAACTCTAAGAGTCAAAAAATTCATATGTTATTTGGAAAAGATGGAGTTGGAATAAATAAAATCAAGCAAGTTACCTATAGCATATATGCCATCTCGAGCCTTACCAATAGTCAAATTTAAAACGTTATCAAGAATGTAATTTCAATAGAAGTGCCAGAAAATAAGATTCCATCTATAAATCACGCAAGTGTATCATCTAATCCAGCTCATGATCGTGATTATTTTCGTAATAAAATATTAGGCTAGATATACTGTATATAGAGAATTTAGTAGCGAAAAATTCGATTATTATGGAATTATTGAAAAGTCATTATGCCCATCATGCAAGTCGAGTCATAAGGATGAGAAGAGTATAAAAGGTAAATATGAAGCTGGATCTTATTTTGTTAAATGAAATTGCGATCACAGCATAAGTAAATAATTATATAAACCTGGGCAAGTGGATAGTGATCTATTTTTTTTCTTGACAGCTACGTGATTTTGAATTGACTTATATTAATATAAAATAATAACATGATACTATTATACAGCAAGATTGTTCGTCTAACCATTCTGTGTCTACCGCCAGCAAGATATTAACCGATGACTACTGTAAATGGCATGCTAATTTAATTAATTTACCAAGTTCTCAGACAGATAAAACTCGTTCTATATTATGTAAAGCATATATGGAAGAGACTGGACTCGATCCTTGGATAAAGCCTGAAACTTCTGAATCCTCACAAATCAGTGAAGCTGGCATGGCCAGAAAAGATGCTAATAATTATATCTAACAGGACAGTTCACTGGAAACTCAAATAATAATACCACGAGTAAATGTTCAATCTATTTCATCTAAACAACAATTCCCAATTTCTGTTCTATCTAAAGACCCGGAAAAAAGGCAACAACACATTATTAATATGATATTAGAACAATTTCCTTATTTAACTCTAAAACATAATTTTCAATATAGTAATTATTTTGATTTTAATAGATCAATACTCTGTCCTTTATGTAATAAAACTATTAAAAATATATATATATAAGAAATCATATACAGTGAACCCTCTCTAAATGCACACCCCTTGGGACCATAGAAAAATTTTTGAAAAATGTGTATTTATGGAAGTAATTTTATTAAGAGTTCTATGTACTTGGGATCAAGCTTGACCATGCATTTAGAGAGAGAAAATAT